GCAAAATGTTTTGTCATGGCTGAAATGTTCTTCCTAAGTCATTTCCTGCACACACACAACCCACAAAAGCCATTTCTCCTCAGTAGCATCAGTTAAGCCAAATAAATCTTGCCTATGAAAAACCTATCCACCACATGCAAATATGACCTAAATGCAACTAATATGATATGACAACAATGTTTAGACAAATAATAACATAAGTAAAAAGACTAAAAATAATCTTTTTATGGAGTTATCATATATACTAATGAACTATATAATATATAATTTATATAAACTATATAGTTTATATATACTAATGAACTATATAGCTTATTAATATAATTATATAAAGTATATAAACTATACACTTTATAGTTTATTAATATAAACTATAGATATATATATATATATATATATAAACTATATAGTTTATATATATATATATATATCAATAAACTATAAAGTATATAGTTTATATATAGTACATAATATAGTTTATATATAGTTCATATATACACTACATAGTTTATATATACTATATTAATATATATATATATATATATATATATATATATATTATAAATGTTTTACTTTTTTTTAACATTTGAAATGAATGTAATTTACTCTATTTTTCAGATTTGCTTTACATTTTACAATTATTTTGATTTCATCCTTTTGTGTTCTTTACTCTATTTAAATTTTAATTCGCTTATTTTTATATTTATTGAATTTAGTCATTAAATTTGTAGTTGCATATGAATTTGGTCCATTATTATTTCTTATATATATTTTTGTAATTAGCCCATAACTTTTTACATGGGTATAATTTAGTCCATTTCTATATTAATTTCAACCTCATATTTTAAAATTATTTCTATTTGGTCCCTCATCAATACGTGTTGTTTAATTTTTTAAAATTTTTATTTGTAATTTCATATTTGTTCAATTTTGTCCTTAAATTTATATTTTTCGTAAAATTGATCCATGATTATTTAAATTCTTAGTAATTTACTCTAAATCATATACAATTACAAATTGCAATTCAACGTTCAAGAAAGGCGAAAAATAATTAATCCAAAAATAAAAATTTGCTCGATCTGAACTTAATCCATATTTGATAAAGATCCGACCTGAATTTTATCTGCCAATGATGTGATCTGATCTAAACGAGATCTGCATAAAGTCCATCCAAACCTGAATTAACCTGGTCTTTAACTGCTCCGGACCTAAACTGTTTTGACCTAAACTAACATCGACCTGAAATGAAAGTAACCCGATCTGAAATGAAAGTAACCCGAACTGAACCTGGTGTCAAATTAACCTGAAAATGACCCGATCTGATTTGGCTTGGACTCGAGCTGATCCGAGTCAATGCATCAAATTGACCTGACTTGACTTGTATCCGATTTTACCTGATCTGACAGGATCCAACTGAAACCTGAACGATTACATGATTTTACATCCATACTGAATTCTATATATATCATAGGCCCTACTTTCTTTCTTTTCTTTTACCCATTTGTTTTAGCCCTTCACCCTTAGAACTGGCTAACCATTTTCCACCTTTTTAAATTATAGGCCCCACACACCTATCCTTTAAACCAAATCAAATTCCACATGCTCCTTTATTATTAACCCCCCCAGAAGTTATTATACCCAAGTAGCCGACATATTTCTTTCCACTTTCTCTATATTTCCTCGACACCTAGTCGTTTCAGAACAAACCACTGCTCGCCATCACCACTCATTCTATCTTCATCTTTTCTCTTATTCGCTTCTAGTCGAGAATTGTATAGTAGCCATGGTTCGAACGAGAAACCAAGAGGTCTACAATTGCCTTTCGTCAATTACACGTGAACACTATTACCCACTACCGAATCAAAAAAATTTGAGGTAAATAATGAGTTTAGTTTTATTACCCCATTACTGATGTACTACCCTTTATCTTTGTGTGAATTTTTTACATCGATCCGTACATATGAATATTTTCTTTTGAGCGGTCAAACCCACTCAAGCACCTCTCATCGAGGTCGAGGTCGTAATCGTCGGTAGACGCGGAGAGTATCTTTATTCATTCACTTATGCTTTACTTTTTTCGTATTTGGATAATACACCTTAAGTGAGTGGTAGAGAATAATTGCATTGACTTTTGCCTTGCTTATTTGAATGATTGGAATTGAGTATGCCTTGGTTGATGTTGAAATTTTCTATTGATAATCCTGATTCTTGCTTTGTTTCTTTGAATGTCGTATGAGTTATTGATCACGCTTTTATTTGAACTAGGATGCATGATAGTGAAAGTGACATGATTTGTGTTTTCTTGGAAATTTTGATTGATATCACATGAGTTTATTGGTTGATATGTATTTGACTCAATACAAATTAAACTTTCTTGTGAGATTTTGAGCTTAAACGAGCAATCCTTTACATTCTTGCTCATTTGTTTGACTTAGTGTGTCAGGCTTAACTTTGATATTCTAAAACATGAAATTAAATATATATTGAGACTGCATACTGAACTTGATGCTTACCTAAAATTGTGTACCCATTCAATTAGCCATTTTTTAGCTTTTTCTCTTTCTTTGTTTTTACCACTTTTTTTTAACTCAAGCCTTTTTTATTTTACCCTCTTTTGCTACCTTTTTAAGATAAGAGAACGAGTTACCTGATGTATGCTCATCTACACAAAAAAAAAAGGTTTGAAAGAAAGAAAAAAGAGAAAAAAAATTCAACATAGTTCGAATAGAAAAAAATTGAAACAAGAAAAAGTTTGAAAAAACGGGAACACAATTGATTGTTTGGTATTTGTTACACTTCTTTTATTTGCATTACTTTATTTTAATTTGTATATCTCGTAGAATTAAACTTATTTGTTCAGCTCTTGTCTTAACATTTAACTCATATTTTTGTCATTTTTCCAAACTTACCCAAGCCCCATTACAACCTTGTTTAAAGATACTTTGATTTTAGCATCTTTTTCATTTCTAGTGGTGAAGACTTGATTTTCTTACATGCTTATAGTAATATTGTGTAGGTTCTGGCTCAAAGCGTTTTCTTTTACCCGAACACTTTGAGTAAGATGAGTGAATCCTTGTGAGGGTGTTGAGTCTTCTTATATTGAGATTGATAAATTAATGGGATGTCATGATTTTGCTTAAATTATTCCTATTTATGACTTTCACTTGATTTTTATTTTTTTATTCCGATAATTATTGTGATCTTGACTTACTTGGTTTTCTTGGATGAGGTGAGATAAAGGAAAGTACATAGAAGTTTTAACATGTTTAATTAAGGCATGTTTGGGGACAAACATTGAAAAAGTTAGAGATAATTTGATGAGCGATTTAATTTGTACATATTTTGTTGATAATTATTCATCATTATTTATTTGATGTTGTTGATTTGGGTTGTTTTAAATCATTTTTATGCAGGATTTTATTTTCCAAAAAAACATTAAAAGGGACAAGTTCTACAGTTTTTTATTTTTTTGAAATCATGGCTGGAAACATGGGCTTGAACATTTTCGATGTGACAATTTCTAGAAGGTTCAGTCAGCAGTAGGAGCAGTTTCTAGAAGGTCCAGTCAACACTCTCTGGAAGGTGGACGGACGGAGTTATCTTAGAAGGAGTTGATTAGGAATTTAAGTTTGAATTTGAAAATATTTTGATTTATCTTTTGATTATCTTTAGGATATCTTTTATTTTGAATATTTATGTTATTTTTAAGAAATTCCAAGAATATAAATACCCATCAGGGTAAATCTTGAACATGTCCTTTTCTTATTTAATTTTTCTAAAAATTCTCAGGTTTTTATTGAAAGCTAATTTTCTTTTATCTTTATTTTATTTACCTTTGTTTTAAAGAAATACTAAGTAGGATTTCGATTATGATTACCTAAACTTTTAATTAGCCAAAGGTTTATCGATGATTCAATTTCGTTTGGGAATATTGAAAAGTACTTAAGATCTTCGAATTACATTCTCGATTTTCTAAAATCTTGATTGGCAATCGGCCTTATCTTTAAAATATCTTTACAAATTTCATTTTAAAAAGTTCATGCTGGATTGAATGATGTTTGAATTTACAGTTTGGGAGGAAGAATCGCTTGGTCATAATTCAACTTCATAGGAGCAAAATTATCAGTGGTGCATTAAGGTGAATCGAGATTGGATTCGATTCTCCTTGATACACCATAATCCGAGCATGGGCCTTTTCAATGCTTAAAGCTACATTGTTGCTTACGACGATAACCGTGGTTAGTTCAAGTAAGAACTAAATTTCGAAGATAGACTTAGGAATATTGGTTTACAGAAGAGAAAAGTAAGTTACAAGGGTTGGGGCTTGTAGATTGTAACTTACATGTATCCAGAGTAAAATCTCTTTCAATGATCAATTAAAATGAAGAAAAGCGAAGCTTGAGGCTATTTTCATTGATTCGATTTCTTTTAAAGTCTTACTTTATTTGAGTTATTTCATTTTACTTTCTTTCAATTCTTTGACTTCTCTCCTTACAATTTTAAAACATTATTTTTTTTATTTTTTTCGTTCTATACAGGATCAAAATAATTCAACCTCAGAAGCTCCTTGGTTCCTACGGATCAACCCTTCTTCTCTTTTTATACTTTTGTTTATTTTATTTGAGAATAAAAAATATTTTATTTGACAATTACGACTCAAATACATATCTTTTACCAAAAAATATATTTTATTTATTTATTATGAGTGGTTTTATTTGACCTTTTTAATATTTAAAATGGAAATTAATTATGTAAAAACATGAATTTAATATCCATTTTTGAAGTTTGACTATTAAAACTATTATTAATTTTCCTTTGAATATAAAATATAAAATTTATTTAATAAATCATAAAGATAGAAATATTTCATGGCTGCAATTTAAATCCATGTTTAATATATACAAATTCATTACATGGAACTCTTGGTTATAAAGGCGGCTCTCTCACGAGTCAAAAATCATAATCAATTTTCCCCCAGGACTTGGTCAATTTCACACTCCTTCGCCCCTCTTTTTGTTTTCTTATAAAAATCATTTGAATTTTATGTTCATGTTGGTTGAATTTTGAGAACCCAAGCAGCTAAAGGAGATGGAAACGGTGGCGCCAGTCCCCGCTGTGGATTTCAACTTCGACAGCGCATGTTCGTCTCCATACATGACGGCTCCTTCCAGTCCTCAACGCTTTGGCAATTTCTTCTTTAGTGCTCCGACCAGTCCCACTCATGTTTCTTCTCTGTTGGTGGAAAAGCCTACGACCAACGATCCCGATGATAATGGTGAAGATTTCGAGTTCAACTTCAGTGGGCAATTAGAACGAGCTTCTTTGTCGGCCGATGAGCTATTCGATGGCGGAAAGATTCGGCCTTTGAAACCCCAGCCTTGTGTTAAACACTTGTCCAGTGGCGTTTCGTCACCCAAATCAAAACAACAACAACGTGGGAGAGAAACAAGTTCTTCAGTTCATAAGAAAAGCAGATCATTGTCTCCATTAAGAGTATGCGACATCATGTTGGAGCAAGAAGAAGAAGAAACTTCATCGTCAAGTTCCCACAAAACCACCACAAACAACCCTAAGTCTTCTTACGTTTCGTCCATCCTGTCAAAAGTGAACAGAAAATGGAAGTTGAAAGACCTTTTGTTGTTCCGGAGTGCATCGGAAGGGAGAGCAGCAAGTGAAGATCCTCTAAGAAAATATTTTCTTCTGTCGAGGAAAGAGACGGAGGACGTTAGAAACGCAAGTTTCCGGTCAACTGATAGTATGGGATCGGTGTCCAGTTGCCGGAGGAGAGGAGCAATTTCGGCTCACGAGTTGCATTACACGGCTAACAGGGCTGTCTCGGAGGAGATGAAGAGGAAAACTTTTCTACCTTACAAGCAAGGCCTCCTTGGATGCTTGGGTTTCAATCATGGAATGAACCAAATTTCCAGGGGCATTGGGTCTCTGACACGTGCATGACCTTGATTTACTCATCTATCGCCTCTTTTGTTGAAATTACATACATTTTATTCTTTTTATGTTTATATATACTCCGGGATCAAAAACTCTATGTTTGTTTACATATTAATTGCCATGAAATGCATTTTTATTAAATCCATTTTGTATTTAGCTTAATGTATCATTTGCCTTTTGCGGCTTGTTTTCTCACTTTACTACTTTACTTCTTAATGGCATTAAGTCCCTCAATTTTTTCCAAAAGAAATTAATATCACTTAAACTATTTTTATATTAAATATGATCTTTAAAATTTTTTAAAAATAAGGTAGCTCATTAATCAATAATTGTATTTGTTGATCATTACAATATTGATATGGAGATCTATGGTGTTTATGTAACAATTCACGATGTTGATATAATATTCTATGATGATTGATGATATGATAAATAAATTAAATTTTTATTTTGGTCAAATTTGAGGGTTAAATTGATTTTTTGAAAATTTAAAGATTTATTTATTTTTTAAAATAAAGTTATGTTAAATTTAAAATATGAAAGTATTTAAACATTTAAAAAAGTAAATATAAACATATTAAAAATAAAATTAATTACTAAAATTTTAAAATTAACATATAAAGTTATGTTATTAAATTAAATTTTTTAAATATAGTAAATAAAATAGAATTATAAAAAATTAATTATTAAATTTATAATTTATCTTATTCGAATTTAATGAGATGGTATATACATATATTATTAAAATAATAGAAAATAAATAATATAAAGAACTAAATATCTTTTTGCGGGTTTTATTTGGGAAATTATTTTACTTTTGTACCTTTCTTTTTAAACAAAATGCACCCGCCAAGCTTGTTCATTATTGTTTATCAAGTAGCAAATAAACATTAATTTCTTTCATTGACGTCAACTAAGCAGCTCACGGTATTGGCGTTTTTACCTAAAAATCACACTAACAAGTTTTAATTATCTGTCAGGTACCATTTAAAAAAATTTATCGATCTAGCACATTTTGCTGCAATTATGACACGCGCCAAAAATGCGTAAATTTCATTATTGGTTCTGAATATCTCGACCTTTAAGCTCTCCCCTCGTCTATAAATAACACCCTCTTCAACCGTAAACATCACAACAACAATTCCTCCTATATTTACTTAAGTTGTTCCTCCTATATTTGTTTCAATAGTTCATTCGATCTTTTGTTGTGAGATAATTTTTTTAATATATTATATTTTATTTTATATATGATTATTTAAAATATATATATTGTATTAATTATTTTCTATTATTTTTTGCGGTTATAAAATTGAAAAGTGAGATCATACGTCGAGATATTTTTTTCGATACGGTAACAATATAAAATTTTATTATTTAAATTATTGTTAATATTTTTAAAATTTGTTATTAGGTTATATTTGAATTCATATACTATTTATTTAATTAGGTGTATTTTAGTTATTGTTTTTGCAGAAATAAGACTCAATCTTTCAAACGCTCAGAATGACGCATATTTCAGCTATTATTTACTATAATGGAGAAATTCGGGAAGATGAAACTAGCGTCGTATTTGTATCAAATCATGTTGGAAGTACTAGAAGATTGTCATCGCTTCAATACAGATTTCCAACATCGGTGTTTCCGTTAACTTATACAACTTTCGAACCATTGAATGATGACGATGTTGCAATGATGGTTGATTCTCAAAATCATTATTTAGACGCCGATACGAAGATGTATGCAAAATTTGTTGAAGTGTGTGTTGTTCGTGGTATGTCATTATACTCCAACAATGGACTGGCTCAACCAGCTGATCAAGAGGACAACCCAACTACAGTAATGTGTAATGATTTTAACGCCAAAATGGGAAATCCACATCATGGTGTCATCCCATCAAGTTTAATGGGGAGACATTTATCAGCAACTTCTTACGATCTGTACCGAGGTCGCTCCACAAACAATCCGTATGGAAACATCGCGTCCACTTCAAGGGAAGGCATTCATCTGCCAATTTCTTTGACCTGAATATGGAGATGCCCTTGACGCATCAATATGTGAAGTACCCATTTGACACGATGCCTTCAAGCTTCAGGGGGAGGCATTCAATTGAGAACTTCTTCAACCTCAATGTCGAGATGCCTTCAAGTTCAAGGGGAAGACATGCAATTACCAGGTTGTTCGAACTAAATGTCGACAGTGTTGAGGAAAACTCATTTCCACCAGAAGAACCTCTTCGCGAGCCAAGTGCTTATGGTGTTGAGACTGGATTATTCGTTCACCCAGAATCACCACAGTTCAATATAGAATTTAAAAATGTTATCGTATAAGCAAAATGCCTCGAGATATGATTTCCATCTAAACGAAGCAAACACCTTCTATTTTATAACTACAAAAAATAGTAAATAATTAATATAATACAATACAATTTAATAATATAATAATATAATATAATATAATATAATATAATATAATATAATATAATATAATATAATATAATATAATATATATATAATATAATATGATATGATATGACCGAATTTGAGCTTTTAAGAGGGTTTGGGCTTTGATATGGGTTGAGAGGATTGTAGAGGATTTGGTATGATTGAATGAATGGAGGAGGAGATATTTATAGAGTTAGAGATGAGTTTGGGAGAATGGGGGTAATTAGTTAGGGGAGTGTGAATGGTTCAGAAATAAATGAAAGGCACGGATGGTGATTTGTGCATTTCTGGCGTGTGTCATAATTGCGGAAAGGCGCAGATGATGCGATGTCTTACCCCACGTGATGATTTAAATCTTTTTGCAAAGGGTATTAAATCGGTACAAATTTATGAAACGGTGTCTGACAGATAATTAAAACTTGTCAGGGTGATTTTTAGATAAAAACGCTCACAGTATTTCCAAATAGAACCAACAATATTTGCATTTTTCTGACATTAAGAATTTGTAATGTTCTCACACAACGGTAGACATCAATGATATAGGAAACGTATTAGTCAAAAGCAGCGGCTGCTTTGGTCGACTGATGCTGCTTCCCAGTTTCAACTACCTGCTTCTCAATTCAGGTTCATCCATCTCATCCATCCTTTCCTTCATTTAATAGTCCATACTAGAGATTTAAACAACCATTTGTTATCATACTAACGATTATAATATAATAATTTTAATGTCGTTTGAAATCTTTATTGTATAACTATAATATTTATAATAATTGTAATAACATATATTATATTTGTAACTATGATAAATATAATAAAATTAAAAACATATTGGTAACCATAATTTAGATCACTTATCCTTAATTTTTAACTGTTTATAATGTAGCATAAAGCAGTTGAAAAACTTGTTGTGATCTTAATAAAATAAACATTAATTTACGCATTCCAAGTAACATTTGATAAAGTAGAAATGTTGGAGAAAAGTACCACACCGCATGGATTAGCCAAAAGCAAAGGTGAGAATATTAGCACCACACATGGGAGTGGAAAAGCTACTTCTCTACCATAATCATTAGGTTTTTGAATAATAATATCGATGCTGATGATGCTTAAACAGTATTTGAAACTTGAAATACTCTTTTTAGTTATTAGTATTGTTTTGGGTAAAACGCACAAATAGTTCCCAAATTATAGGTTATTATTTTGTTAAGTTCTTTAAATATTAAAAGTTACAAAATGATCCCTTGACCACATAGCATCTTTGATGAGTCCTCGACTATTAAAAATTATAAAATCATCACTCGACTATTTATATATTTCAAATTCGTTCTTTTCTGTTAAAAATTGATGATTGTCTAAGTTTGACATTAACTTACTGATTGATATATGATAAAATCATATTTTTATAATATTTATTGGCACCGCCGTTGCTTTCAAGTAATGATTGGACAACATAATGTCTCGAGCACATGCTTGACAACACAATGTAGATGGAGACTCCACCTAAGGCAATAACTATTGAGGGGACACCCCAAAAATCTCCAATTTTCCTTATATATATATATATATATATATATATATATAATAGAATTTTTTTTTTAAAAATGACACCCATTATAGAAAAGTTTTGACACCACATGTATCCATATGTATTAAGGGTTTTCATTCATCTAAATCAATCACCGATCGAATTAAATTTTTATTAATTGAATTAATAGATTTTTCTTTAATCGTTAATTGAATCAAATTGAATATAGTTTGATTAATTCGATCAATGACCAAATTAATCAAATGTTTAAATATATTTTTAATTAGATTAATTTAAATTTAATATAAATAATTTTATTTGGGTCAAAATTTAATTAGATCTTGATAATTTAATGGATTTAGAGTGATTAAAAAAATATTTGACTCTCATTCTTAATAGATTTGAGCTTAAAATATGTATTTAATATATATATATATATATTCTTGGCTAATTCAATTAATTTTGTTAATTAAGAGATTTCAAATCTAATTAACCGTTAAATATTGATAAAAATAATTGTTCCACAACCGAAATAATTTAGTGGCCGGACGTTTTAACTAAATTAATTCAGTTCGGTCGATAAATTAAATTAAAACCAAAAAAATAAACACCCCTAGTATGCATCTATATTTTCTTTTGATTATTGTTTTAATAACTTTGTATTAGTCTTATATTAGTTTAGCTATATTTTACTTTAATTTATTGAATGTTAATATTATGTATTAATTTATTTGACTTTATTTAGATATCATAATTTAAAATCATGACACCGTATTATGAAATTCATATTTCCGCCATTGGGAGACTCACAAAAAACAACTCAAACAGTTATGAGATCAAATTTATCATATTCCAAACAATAAGTTACTGTCCAACTCAAACAACTGCCACTTTTTTTTTTAGAGAAAATGATAAATTTAGAACATAGTCGGGTGATCATTTTGTGGCTTTTAATAGTCGAAGACTCAACAAAGCACTACTTTATAATTAGATATCATTTTATAACTTTTAATAGTCGAATAATTCAACAAAACAACATCCCACAATTAGATAATCATTTATATACTTTAGCCTATTATTTTTTAGTGTTTCAGTCGGACA